ATTGGTGCTGCCATACGTAACATGCTATTAACAGCAGTGCGTGGAGAGGAGATGCGTCAGACATATTCACTTCATTCCAGGCCAGGCTACAAATATGACTCACAGTCAGGTTCTTCCCTCTCTAAAAACTACAAAATCTGAAGGACAAAAATGAACAGCAATTTATTGGGGATGGACTTTAAGGGAGGAAGTAGAAACAACAAAAAGCCTTGAGTTTATTAAATCTCTTAATCTGTACAGCATCTTTAGGGAATGAATAGTTATCTATCAAATCCCAGTTCCATAAAACGTAAGCTCATTCCTTTAAGCTTTGAAGACTGGATCATAACCACTGAGGGAGAGAATTTTCTCGAACAGGTTAGGTGATTCGCATAACTGACCCTTTCTTGGTGACTCTGCGACATTCTATTCTATCAATTCAGCAGGACAGCCTATGACAATACTGATCCCTCAGGGAACATCAAGAAGCAGAGGATATTTTTCCACCAGAAGTACTGTCTTAAATGTTGTCATTTCTTGAGATCTGCCTCTTGATGCTGAGTGAGAGAGCAGTGTATTCCAAGATTTTTAGATGAAAAATTTCCTAGTGGAGCCTCTTCAGTTGAATTGTGGGGGACTACCTCAACTCGAGATGTAATGAGAAATGGTAAAACAAAGGACAAAATCATACCTAGCCAGTACGATGGGTATAACATAGGAACATTTTCTAAATTCCTCCACTCAGCCCATGTAAACATCATAAGCAACACGATGAAAAAACTTTTGAGACTGGGATGGCTGGATGAAAAAACACACCTCCTCTTTAAGGAACAGCTGGTCTTTAAGGATAAATGGAACATGTCTCAACATGCCAAATTACATGTTAGTTCTCCCCCCCCCCCTTGAGGGGGAGGAAATCACGAATATAAATCATGGCTTCCAAACACAGTATTTATCTTCTAAGAATAACTTATGAGTTGTGAAAAATTATATAGTAAGATTATATGAAACATTAAGAATGTACTTTTTTTTTTTTTAAGATTTTATTTATTTATTTGACAGAGAGAGATCACAAGTAGACAGAGAGGCAGGCAGAGAGAGAGAGAGAGAGGGAAGAAGGCTCCCTGCTGAGCAGAGATCCCGATGCGGGACTCGATCCCAGGACCCTGAGATCATGACCTGAGCCGAAGGCAGCGGCTTAACCCACTGAGCCACCCAGGCGCCCAAGAATGTACTTTTGAATAGATTATATTTTATTTGTTTAAAGCATAATCCTCGCAAACTACTAGCACTGTCAATAAACACACACTGAGGACAAGTAAGAAACTGGGCTGAGAAGGTTCTAAGTCATGGTTTTTAAACCTCAGAAAGTTTATTCAACTGCAGAAATAAGGCATACTGTGAGCAATACAAATAAGGTAACTGTCACAACATGAGTTTAGACAAGTAAAATAGGAATTTAGTAGGCTTTTGTAATTTAAAATAAGGAGAGAGTTCTGGTAGTTTAAGAGAATGTTAGTAACCTCCCCTCCCCCCAACCAAATCATAACCAAAACAAACAGTGTGTGCTTTGTTTCTAAATGTAGGCCCTTGTAGTTGGCTATGTGACCATTAGGAAGTCCCTTAGCTGTTCTGAGGCCTGATACTCTTATCCGTGGAATAGGTTTTTTTACTCTGCTTTGGTTAGAGGATTGTTAAAAAGCTCAACCGAGACTATTTGCCCAGGTGCCTGGGTGGCTCAGTTGGTTAAGCATCCAACTTAAGGATGATGATCTCAGGTTCCTAGGATCGGGGCACCATGTGGGGCCCCACCCTCACCAGACAGTCTGCTTATCTCTCTCCCTCTGCCCCTCCTCCGATCATGCTCTGTCTTTCTCTCAAATAAATAAGTAAAATCTTTAAAAAAAAAAAAGGATGTATTTCCTTCATATCTCATATCTTGCAAAATACCATATATTTTGTTAGGGGGTTATTTTTTGAAGTAATATTCTTAGATTGTAATTAAATAAAAATTTAATTTTTCTTTTAAAAATAAATCAAAGAACAAACTCCAGTTACCAAAAAAAATGATCTGCTCCATTTTAGGCAGCCATAATCGTTATGAAAGGTGGGATTATGAAGTTTGTTATCATACACAAGTGCAATTACTATGACTTTTACAAAATCAGTAGGGATTTTAGTTTGCCTCATTTTCTGTGTGCTCTCCAGTATCTATAAGCAAAATAATTTGTCATGTCTTTGATATAATTTACATCACCCAAATATCACACGGATACCATCATTAAGAACTGATAAGGGCAATAAGAACAAAATTCAGAGTACTGGGTATTTGATGCTTAAGAAAAAGGGGGGCTGGAGTAAGGATGGGGGTAGAAGAAACAGCTGGATCATGTTTTCTCAAAGTGTGACACTAAAATATCCAGGCCACGCCCCAGACCCACCAACTCAAAATCTGGGGCCAAGGAAGGAATCTGCATTTTTAATGAGCCCCTGTGGGAACTCCTGTACACTCGCAACCTGGTAGCTACAGTGCCTTAGGGTAGAAGACTGCATGTCCCAGTGTTGCTCTTATTTTATCAATTTAGGACTTTGTCCTTCACCCCAGTTCTCCCAAGGACCTCTGTATCAGCCCAGTGTGTGTGGGGTCTTTTTATTCTAGACCCACAGTCCCAATGGCAGAGTGTAGGGGAAGTAAGTCTAAGATACACAGGCAGACGTCAGGGAGGAATCCTCCCCAAAAAGAAATACCTGGTTTCTGGTTCCTGCCTCTCTCTCTGGACACCTGAGGGCAGATACTCCTGTATCTCAGGGATCAAACCTCCCCTTTTGGGGGACAAAGGGCTGGGTAGCCTGGTGACAAACCTATTTCACCATGGAGACTAAGGCTTCCTGTCTGCCAGGGCTGCGAGAGGACAAACATTCTCCTTAAACAAGCCCTCTGGATAAGAAACAGGATTGAGGGGGAACTATGAATAAAAGAGACTCAACATGAAATAATTTTCCTTTACACATGATATAACAAATACAAGGTTTGTTAAGTATTTCAAATACCAAATATATGACCTCCTTCATCCCTCCTCCTCAATTAATGACCCCTGCAGAAAATCAGGAAGATACTGTTTAAAAAACACAAAACTAAAAAAACTTTAGAAATAAAAATGCTATCCAGGCCTGAGTGCACAAACTGGCAGCCTGGCAGAGTGATTTTGCCCCAAGAAGTTTTGTTTAGTCTGCAAAGTGTTGCTGTTGTTTTCAATTTGAATTAGTTGCCAACTTAAAACAAAACAAAACCCACACAACCTGGAATTTTCTTTTCTTTTCTTTTTTTTTTTTTAAAGATTTTATTTATTTGTCAGAGAGAGGGAGAGAGAGCGAGCACAGGCAGACAGAATGGCAGGCAGAGGCAGAGGGAGAAGCAGGCTCCCCACTGAGCAAGGAGCCCAATGTGGGACTCGATCCCAGGACGCTGGGAATCATGACCTGAGCCGAAGGCAGCTGCTTAACCAATTGAGCCACCCAGGCATCCCCCAACCTGGAATTTTCACATGAAAATCCAATTTCTGAATTCTCCTGAAGAAGTGCAAGGCTGTTAACAAGGTAATAAACTGGCAAAGCTTAGTGGTAGCTATCTCCTTCAGATGAGCTCCCTATTGAAACCAAGGCCCGCTATTGAGACACTTGAGTCAGTGTTTGCCTCTTGGGACCTATGTATCATTGGTGTTCATGGCTCTTGGCCTCACTAGGGGAATAACGACTAACCAGCCAAATTATGTAGTTCTTTATGGTGACTTTCCCAGCAAGGGGGAAAGGGAATCAGAATCAGACAAGAGGGGCACCTGGGTGGCTCAGTGGGTTAAAGCCTCTGCCTTCGGTTCAGGTCATGATCTCAGGGTCCTGGGATCAAGCCCCACATCAGGCTCTCTGCTCAGCGGGGAGCCTGCTTCCTACTCTCTCTCTCTCTGTCTGCCTCTCTGGCTATTTGTAATCTCTGTCAAATAAATAAATAAAATCTTAAAAAAAAAAAAAAGAATCAGACAAGAATGTCTGCTTTCTTTTCAGAGTTTCATCTAGAAATAAAGTGACCCTTGAGTAAATCCTGGGATGTATGTGGGTTGGACCAAGCCTGAGGAAGGTATACTCCTACACCCTCCCTCTCCCGCCCCTTGGCCCCACACCCAGGCAGGGCAGAACAAGAAATCGAGGAAGGAAATACCAGTCACCATCTTGAGACCCTTGGTAACATCACTGACAACTCCCTACCTATATGTCTAGAGAGACTTGAAATAAAAAGATGGGTCTCCAGAACACCCTATATAAAGGAAGGCCACAGGCAACCAAAATTCTAGAATACCCAGATAATGGATTTACAAGGCTGGGACCTAAGATGTTAAGTTTGGTGTTTTTCGAGTAGGTTCCCTTTCCACTTCAGTTTATTTGATGAATGAAAGACTCTGGGCAAGTTATTCCTGATGTCTCAATTTCCTTATTGAACATAGGACCTACCTGGAGTGAAACCAGAAGATTTCTATCTCCAAAGTAGGTAATTACAAATAATGTCTTTAGTTAATTCCCTGTTAAAATATGTTAAAATCAGATGAGTGATAATATGTTTTGTAATTTAGCAATCGTCCCTAGTACGTGAGTAAAATGTTAATAAAGTATTTGTGGGTAGCATAAACCAGGGTTCAGTGCTAGCAGGGAGTATCCAGTGAGAAGCCACAGCCCTCAGTGAGGGTCAACAGATTGTATAACCTGGTTCCGTCAGTCTTCTACCTCCATAATGGGGATGATGGGGATGGTACTAATGATCTCTCCTTTATCTACTTCATAAATCGTCTGGAGTACCTCATGAACAGGGTGCTATATAAATGGGTCACATTCCTGTCATTTGTCTTACCTCGCAAGACGCCTCAATGCCATGAGAATGTTATAGGTCCCTGGGAAACACGACTAACTGCTTCCTTTCTCCTGGCGCAAGGGAGGGGATGAAGGCAGTGAAAGAAGCCCAGATCAGCACCCACCTCTGTTCTGATGGATACTGGTTTTCAGGCATCATCTTTGGCATCTGCAGGGGCTGATGTGGTGGCCGGGGGACCGCAAAGGTTTGCTGCTGTGGTCCAGGTTCAGGAAGCGAGTGAGGGGCGGGGGCGGGGCCCACACCTGGTACTGGGCCCGCTGCAGGGGCGTGTGCAGAGGTGGGCAGAGTTGCCTGGGGTTGGGGGAACAGGGAGTTCTGATGGGTAGGTGACAGGGGGGTGGTGGGAGGAGTTAATGGCTTGAACCCAGAGGGAGGCTTCCGATCATAGGCACTGTAAACAGAAAGAGAGAAGGAACCATTAAGCCACGATGAAGCCATTAGCCTGGTCGCTGGTCTGGCAGGACAACTAGGCTGGGTGGCGGGCCACACTGCCAGGAAATGACAGCATTAACATAGTTAAATTGCTGGCAGCCCCCAGGGAATATTTGTACCTCTGAAAAGTGACAAACACACTGCGTCACAGAGACTTGTTTAACACTTCTAGTGATTCTTCTCAACGATAATTTTAGCCTCTGTTTCCGGTTTCCTTTTTCCCCCTTCTAAAAGCACTCTCCATATATGCCATGTGTAGGGATGGATGGGGGGGGGCAGAGTTTGTGCCCTGGGGGGTTTCTGGCCCCCTCTCCCGAGGACTCCAGCGTCCCCAGGAATTAGGTTCTCTGTGGAAGATACATTTCTGCCGTAACATCGCTTGAGTTAACGACTCTTCTCCCCCTTTCCCAGGCAGATCTGTGTTTATCTTCTAGAGCAAAGACTGATTTAAAATTAAAGCTTCATTCCTGGGGCCTGGATATTCTTAAGTAAAGGGCACAGGCACGGGGACTTTTTCATATATTCTGATTTGAAGATTACTTCTTTGGTGCTTAAAGTTCACATTAACATATGATAGACTTGAAGAAGTATATATTCCCTCCCTAGAAGCCCCAGATCAAATATCCCAGTATTCAGGGTTCTTTCCCTCAGGAGGGCTCAGCACCCCCTGCGCTCAGTTCCCCTGCAGAGCCCGGTTCACAGTTTAGCTTTTCATGTGCAGCACAAAGGCCCCCGTTTGTACCAGCCCCCACCTAGAGGACGACATCGCCGTGAGAGGCGACTCTGAGCTCTACTCTAAGTGTCTGCTAAGGGTCCTTGAAGTAGCCAGCCGGGGGGCTCCTTTCCGGCCGACCCTTCTCTGGGTCCACTTACCAATAGCTGTAGAGGCACTTTTCTCCATAGTTAGCACCGAGAGCCTGCTCGTGGCTGCAGGATGACAGCTCCGAGGAGGGGCTGTGCAGCTCCCGTTTGATCTTGGTTGGAGGTGGGGCGTGAAGCACCACTGCAATCAGAAGAGGGTTGGGGCCCAGGAGTGGGGGGGAGGCAGAGAGAGGATAGCTGATTAACAGCAAGCACAATGCTTTCCTTCTGTAACCCCTGTCACCAGTGGATGGTTCTTGGAAGTCACATCAAGTCACATGCGGGGGAAAGCCAAACGCTGAAACACAGAGCCTTCCATCTAAAACCAATGAAAAGCTCTTTCAAGTCAGAAGTCATCATCTGACACTTTTAATTAGCCGTGTCTTTATTCCCCCATATCTGTGGTGTTGGGTCTACTTCCTTAAAATTCCTGCAGGGGATGGTTCGTCCAGAAAAATGCAGGTGCGACAGAATACCAAGGGTTGCAGACATGGAAGAAATCTGTTTCCAAAAGGAACAAAACAGCCATAGATACACTGGGAGACAGTACACATTAACTTACCAAAGGCTTGAAACTGCTCTGGTAAGTATATTTCTTATTCAGAGGCATATAAATTAAATATTTGACTTTTTAAAAGTCCTTCCTCAAGCAGCTCTAAATATCAGCTCTGAGTAAGAAATACTGAGCTTTAAAGGCATTTCAAAAAATTTAAGAGCAAAGACATACAACAATGGACCAAACCTCAACCTAGCTAAGGCTAACTGTGTAAGAACAAGTCCTGGAAACCTTTGTGCTTATGTCTGCTCTGTGCTTTTCCTACAGACCAACCCCTGAGGGTAGGTTTTCATAACCAATCGTTTCAGATAAGTGCCAATTACTTCTCCAAAACTGATGAAACAGTACACAGAGCTCTTGCGTAACGTTCGGAAATCAAGTGCATATTCCTTATGTGATTCCGAGAGGGCAAAGTTTTTCAAATCAAGGTGACTTACAGGGTAGCAAAATGAAACAAAATAAAACCAGGTTTGCCTTTTCTGTCTCATCTAGGAGCTGACTCATTTTAGTGAGGGCATTTTACCCAAAGTAGAAGGACAAACTCTAAAAGACGCTACACCACGGGGGCTGTTTGTTCCTTATGGGTTAGGATTGCTGCTCCCAGTCCAGCTCTCATGAAGGGTGGGAGAGAGGCGAGTTAAGTTTTGTGCCAGCAACTCTCCACCCTATCAAAGGTCTCATTAGATAGCTAACCACCATCACTGCCCTGGTATCCCACCAAAATTGAGGTCTGACTCAGTGCTGGCCCCTAGAACACTTTCAGGAGCTTAGTTTATTCTTAGTGATGATACCAGGCAGAATTAATGAAACGATCATCTGTTTTCTGCTGAGAAGACTGAACAATTCTTGCTCAGCTGCCATCTACAACCCCAAGTTCAGGTCTCCGAAGTGAACAAATGCGACAGATGACTCTATCACAGATGACAAGTTTATAAAGCAAAGTCCTACCAGTGACTGACTGGAAAGGACAGGTTTTTATAATTCCTTTCCTACATAATGCCAACTGCTTTTCCTAAATACATGCAATAAGTTCGGAACTGGAAGACTATATTTAGAAGTCATTAGAGTCGCTCTCGTGATTTTTTGATGGTGACATCATGGCAGCAACCCTCAATTGTTATCAAATGTTTTCAGACATTCAGACACAGAAAACGGCTAAGCTTGTTGTTGTGAGAATGTTGTTAGTACATGAAAAGGGAGAGTCAGACAACTTGACACAGAAAAGCACTTCTCCAATGCAGTGGTATTCTGGTGGTTCTCAGCATGGTCCCTTTGTCATTGCCTCTCCTCTCATTAGCCTTCTGCCATAAAAGTTTTGGAAAAATCATGAGGGAAGGTTGAGATGCCCCGGTGTAAACTCAAGTTACATGTCCTTGAAAAGTCTACTTTTCTTTATCTAAAGAAAATCCTTTATCATCATGACTTTACCTACATTTAGAAAGTTAAAAATTTATGGTATCACTCAATTTTCCTATTTCAGGTTTTGGAAACGTATTGACATTTTCACAGGATTATTTAAAAAGTTACCAGTTCTGCTGACAAGACTAACTCCAGAGGGTAAGCCAAAGTTGTCCGGAAGGAAACACTTTTCTAATGGCTTCAGGAAGAGCATATACCCATTTTGAAAGAGAACCTAAACTGACAGCTAAGCCTGATGTCCTGATTTCTTCAGATCTACACAGTACTCTTAGTGTGTAACCTATCATTTTGCCTCTAAAGTAAAATGGCATCTTCTACTACCCCCAAACTGTCTTATACCTGGAATCTTCTGTTCTCTACACAAAGGAGGAGTTCAAGAAATATCTGGTGAGTGCTATGGTCTGAATGTTTGTGTCCCCCCCAAATTCATATGTTGAAATCCTAATCCCCAATGTGATGGTATTGGCAGGGGGGGGGGTGCTTTGGGAGGTGATTAGGTTATGAGGGCAGAGATATGTGAGGACAAAACGAGAAGAGAGCCTTCACCTGCCCATACTGGCACCCTGATCTCAAACTTCCAGCCTCCCAAACTTTCAAAATAAGTGTCTGTTGTTTATATGTTATTCTGTCTGTGGTATTTTGTTACAGCAGCCTGAATGGACTAAGACAATGAGTGACTGATTGTTTCCAATTAATTCTTAACCTTGAAGGCTGGGACCGCTTCTACCCTACAAGGCAAGGCAGTGTTAGTCATAAATATGTTTTCCCCAGGAATGAAACACTGCAAAGAGAGAGAAGAAAGTAGAACATGGCCAGAGGAAGAATTGAAAGTTCCACAGGTCAGTGAAAAGACAATCATTAGGGGCCGTTGGAGTGGTAAGGAAGGAGGCTCAGCTCTCCAAAGGGACTGCTGGGCCAGAGGATGTGTGAAGGAACCTAATTATGGCATGCATTAGTCAGAGATAGTGGTGTATTTAAAGCAGGGACTTAGAAGCCCAAGGACTGCTCCTTGCTTTCAGTCTGCTCCCTCCTTTGTAAAATGAGATATGTGATGCTGCCTTGAGAAATACAGAAAATGGCACAGCACCTTACAGATGGTGCTATGATGTGTAATTACACACTGTGCTTTCAAAAATAGAGTATTTAACTTCACACAGGCAACTTCCTAAATGATGACAGAGACCTAGGACTACAAAGCATGGCGACGTACTGGAAAGAAGAAAGGTCATGAACTCCTGAGGAAGTTGGCAAAGAAATGCCCAAAGAGTTGACTATGTAAGCGGATAAACATTTTCTACAATTAGAAATTTTGAGTTTAAGCTCAGAGTTACAGAAAATGGGCCCAATAATCCCTGCTGAATACAGACAACCTTTGCTGTCGTAAAGATACCATTCATTCATTCATCCATTCACCCACTCACTGAGCATCTTCAATGGGCCAGGCATCCTGGAGATGCTGGGGACAGGATGTATGCCCAACAGCCATGGCCCCTTTTTCATGGCATGCACAATTTAGTGAGGAATCTGACTTCTAGCATCATCTCTTAGATGCACTTACAGTTAGACCAAGACCCCACAGTCCTTTTCATTCAGAGCTCTACATTTATAAGGACTGTGAGGCCCAAAGGAATTAAAGTAATTGCTCAAGGTCTTGGAGCTGCTATTAGGGGGAAAGAAAGCAAGTGTTTCTGTCATTTCAGTAATCAACGGTACCGACAGAAATGCGAGCCATTTTGCTCACCCACTTTGTACACTAAAAATAGACGACATGAAACTTTTTTTTTTTCCCAACAAAAACAAAAATATCACATTACACCTGGTGGAGAGAAAGTACTCTAGAACAAAGAAAAAAATGAATTAAGTACTAAAACCTCTGGAAAAGAACAAGGTAGACAGACAAGAAAGAGGCAGCCAGACACACACCTTAGCATTTACTTTGTGAGAAGTTGCTCTTACATACATTATTTTAGTCCATCTTCCCAACACAATGAAAAAGCTACTTCTAGTATCTCCTTTTCATAGGATAGAAAACCCAGGCTCAAAAAGGTAAGTAATCTGGCATAGTCTCTTAGCTGTAAGTGGTCAAGATTCCTACTTAAACAGTGTTTAGTGACTCTACCATATTGCCTCGTGAGAGAATCTGCAAGAAAAAGACTAAATTCAAAAGGTATTAAAAGAAATGGGGGAAGAGAGAGAAGAAAGACACCACCAGAGAAGAGAACAGAAGAATACTTTTTGCCAGCTCTCAGGGTCTCTACCCTCAAGTTTACTCTGCAGTCTCCAGTGGGAGACACACCTGATACACCTGCATCCATCCAACTTATACCTTTCTTGTCCCTAGGCCACCAAAATGCCCAAGATCTCTCTTTCACCCCTACCTCGAACCAACATCTCTTGACTGCAGTAGCCTTTACTTCTTATCAGTCCTTGCCACCCATTCCACCTAAAAGATCTCCCCTCCCTTCTATAATCCAGCTGACCAATATTTTCTGCTTATTAAGACAGCCATAGGAACTTGAAGACCTGGTATCTTCCACAGCCGGTCACTGACTGGCCAGATCCCACCTTATGGCCATGGATACCATCTTTCTGCCTCTCCTGAAAGTGCTTCTAGACAATTCCCTCTCAATGCCACCTGTGAGGCAAGAATACTTTGAGTGAGCTATGTGGACTCTTACTGAACTTCAAAAACTCTGTTAAGGATCCATACACTATGAGAGTCTCTGCTTATCAGGGGTAGGAAAGACAAGAATTCCTGTTTAACCAGATTTAAGTCTGTATCTATGAATATGTACCACAAAGTACAATATATTGCTTTGTAGACCACCATAACACCATTTTAAATCTAGATATTATGTTCACAGATCAATCAACTTAACTTTATAGTTGGTTTTCTTATTAGGGAACTCTTTGGGAGATTTTTCTATCTGACACAAAAATCAAGCTTGAGGGACTCCTGGGTGGCTCAGTTGATTAAGCATCTGCTATTGTCTCAGGGCATGATCCCAGGTTCCTGGGATCAAGTCCCACATCAGGCTCCTTGCTCAGCAGGGAGCCTGCTTCTCCCTCTCCCTCTGTTTGCTGCTCCCCCTGCTTGTGCTCTCTCTCTCTCTCTCTGAGAGATAAATAAACAAATAATTTAAAATCAGCCCTGATCTTAGCCAATG